ATAGGTAAGTGAAAGGATGAAAATAGAGGAGATAGAACTATTGGCTATGCAAGAGTTCATGCAAAATTCTATAGTGTTATGTGTGAAAATTCATGAAAAAATATGATCAAGACTAAAGATCTTAAAAAGTCTCTCATCAAGAAAGATCTTATATATAAAATATTCAAGAATTATATTTTAAAAGAAAAAGAAAATCAACCATAAATCACTCAATTTCTTTAAAGTTATAGATATTGAATATATAGAATAAAACAAATAAAGAGAAGTATTAATCTATTTAATTCAAAATTATGACTAGCTCAAGATATAAAAATAACATATTTATTTAAAGATTGTGAAATTCTGGAAGAATAAATATTTAACTAGATCATTCTACTCATTATAATGAATATATCTATTTTTTATGATCAATAATAAATAAATATAATAATTAAATAAAAAATTTTAGTTAATAAAATCCATACATTTGAGAATACATAACATACATACATATAACTCACTTATACTTTCAGATACTATTGCTAAAATCATCTCAAAACTTCCATTAGAGAATCTAGATAACTTAAACTAGATAATCTTTTTCTCTTGGATACATAAATAATTATTGAACCTTCTTGAAGTATCTGTTAAACTGATTAATATAACTACTAACTCAGACTTTGACTGATTAAATATCTTTATTGTTACTTTCTCTAATAATAATTATATTCAAATTAACCATATATGATATAAAAAAATTTATTATAAACTTTATAAGAGATATAAAAACTTTAATACAAAATACTATGATTTATTAGAGAAACTAGACAGATGTCATAAAAAATCAGATATAAATAATAATAAAATTGAACCTATATATAATAATATATTAATAATATTTGATAAGCTCATAAAAGTAGAAAGATATTTATTAAATAAAAATATGATTTTTAGTAAAAGAATTAGAAATGTGATATTGATCAATATTAAAAAAGATACAGTACGCAATACTTAAAGATGGAAATTAAATTTAAAAACTTTAAAAAGTAATAAAGGATAGTATAGAGATAGTATAAAAAAAAGAAAACTGCTATTTTGAAGTTAAGTCAATTTACTACAAATTGTTAGTCTCCTTTTTTAAAAATAATTATTTTTGAGTTATATCCATTTAAAAATATCTTGTTTTATATGTTCAGAGTGATAAATAGCCAAAATAGGATATAATTTCTTCATGTATCTTTATAATTAACCAATCAAATTATAAAATATGTGAAATTCAATTTTATTGGTTGATCATAAATCACATTTTTTTAAATTAATTGGCTTATCACATATATTTTAAGTAAAGTTCATTTATTAAAATATATCTTAGCAAAAGAAATAATTTATCAAACTTCAAGAATACAATAATAAAAGAAGAAAACTAGTCCAAAAAAATCAGAAAAAAGGAATTTTAGGAGAGAAAAAAATTTTTGAAGAAGAAACTATTGAATTTTACAGAGAGGAGGGAGAAAATGAAGTAATTGATAAGACTAATAAAACTAATAAAGAGAAGGAAACTGACAGAATCAATGAAACTGATAAAACTAATAAAGAGAAAAATAAGAAGACTGACAAAGAGAAGGAGAAGATATAAATATACCTACTTATAACTTTGATATAGAAGAATGTAGAAAGAGAGAATATAAGAATAATAAAAGAAATATCAAAAATAACTTATTATTATAAATTTGACACTTCTGATTCACTTGCCAAGACTACCAAGGGAATACATAAAATTACTAATTTTTTTACTAGTGAATCTTTGGTATTTTTAGCAACTTTGATATATATATTTTCCACATCTATATCCTTCAAGTTTTTAGCACTTTCAGTAGCAGATAAAGATGATGCAGAAGTAATACTTTGTGAAAGAGTTGCTCAACTTCAGAATAAACTTCTTGAAAATAGACAAATTTTTATAGCTTTCGAGTATAATAAATAGTATGCTATTTATAAGTATTTAATATGATTAAATAATAATAGAAAAATGAAAGCTTACCAAGAAGCTGTGGATATAATCTATATCATTCCAATATCATGTATAGCTAAAAAAATTCATTTTTTGGCCAAATTTTATCTGTAATATGAATTATTTCCACTTTCAAATCATGATCAAAAAATACAAGTGACTTATTGATAATAAAGATATAGCATTAGCTTACTATCAATAGATATGACAAGAATTAGAAATAAATAGTATTAATTCATCCCAGTTTAAATAGTATATCAAAGATATTATTCTGTCAGAATACATAGATATCAGAAAAATAATAGCTTGCAAATAGTCAAGAAATAATTAAATATCTTGGGTTATTAATTTGAATAATATTAGAAAGAAATATACTTTAATGGACATAAATAAGAGAATATTATTGCATATTGAGAAAATTTTTTAAAAATAATAGAAAAATTAGAATGACAAATGATGAGATATAAAGGAGAAGCAATAGAAATAATTTTGCTAGTATTCATAATAGGTGAGTGAGAATTAATTTTTATCACTTACAATGAATGTATTTTCTATTTAAATGATGAAAAAAGAAGAATTTGAATGACAGATAGGCAAATACTATTATGAAAGAAGGGAAATGAGAGATTAATTATGATAAGTGAATTCCTTTCAGAGACATGTGGTCATTTAAAACTAAGTGAAAAAGAATTGACCAAATATTCAAATATTTTTATCAAAGTATATTGTTATCTTATATCTGGCAAAAATCAGGAAGGTTATTAGACTGTTGAGCATCTACTAGAACAAATCAAGTATAAAGTAATTTCTATTTTTGAGGTAAAGTTCTCTGATATAATAGCTATCTTTGTCTTTAACAATAGTATCAACCACATAATATATATGAAGAATACTCTTGTTATAAGAAGGATAAATCTGAATCCTGAAGAAAAGTAACTGATTATGTGATTGACAACTTTTATTAGTATTGATGGATAACTAACAATTCAACAAATAATATTTATTGAAGATTACTCTGATTCTGCTTTACAAGGAAAATCAAAAAAAATAAAGAGAATATTGCAGGAAAGAGATTTTTGAAAGAAAGAGTTGATTTTAGATTGTTAGATATATAAGAACAAGAAGTTAATAGAGAGATCTCTATGGATAGACTGTTATCCAAGAAGAATTATAGCCTCTCAATCTGATTTTATAGTACAAAAGTCAGTCATTGTGAAGTTAATCGAAGATGCTAGCTATTTATGTATTTTTTATCTAAAGTTCTATTATAAACTTAATTTTATTAAGATATATTAGAGTGTAGCTAAGTACTATACAAGAAACTACTGTGATTATATGTGGACTGGCTTGCAAAAAACTATTCTATAAGTACTTGATTCTGTGAATATTATTACAATTAGAAAGTTTACTCAAAAATCATGAAGATACATATAATTATATCATGAAGAATTAATAAAAAAATTAGCAGAGTATGCGTATAAGAAATTTAGATTATATAGACAGATTTTACAGAAGAAATTAGATGAGTTTATGATTAGTAAGAAATAAGTTTTAGATGACAAATATATGTATTGGATGGTAAGAAATAAATATATAGATTTATGTAGATGATAACAAATATGTATTGAATAGAATATGAGACAAGAAAGATGAAAGTGAGGTATTTTTATTATAATAAAGATATTTTTGATCAGGATAATATTAAAGAAAAATAAGATACTTATTATAATTGTAATTATAATATTGTGATATATATCATAATAATTGTATATTACATATGTAATATACGTGATATTATAAAAATCATATATATTCAAAAAAATATTATAAATTAACTTTTTAGCTAAATGTAAATTTTGGATTTTGAAAATAGGACAAATCACATAATTTACACCTTTAAGTATTACCCACTATATATTTTTTTTGGTTAGCTATTTAATCAACTTCACATGCTTTGATTATGGATAATAGAAATATATTATATAGACTTGAAGAGATCATAATTACAAAATTAGTACCTATTATAAAATAAGCCCATAGGACAACTTAAAAGTCATAACACAAAGTATCTGTACTTGTTTTACTAAATCATATCATATTATAATAAGCTTCAGAGAGTGATATTATGTATTTTATTTCAAAAAAATAAATTAATATCTCAAATAGTAGATGTTATATATCCATATTACTAGAAAATTAAACCATATACTTTACATGATATTTGTAATACATCTCCAAAATAGATCTTATATATCTGAAATAGATCTCTTATACTGAAATAGATCTTATATTACATGCTCAAAATAGAGCTATTTTTATATCTTGTCAGTTAATTTATTTTGATGCAATTCTATTTCCTTCTGCAAATATAATAAAGTATCAAATCTTAACCAAATTACTAGAGAATTATTCTCTGATCTAGTAAGATCAAATATAATAAATTTATTTTTTTGAAGGTAACTATTAATAATCATTGATGCATTCTTAACATCATCAGTATATCATCTAATTATTTTAAATACATCTTGATAACTACTGTCCCTATTAAATATTACTAAATATGTGATATTTTTATTGGGACATGATAATATTTTTGCATTACATATATTGGACTTATATTATAATGATATCCATATGTAAAGAATAGAATAATTTGATTTATTATCAACTCTAGAGTAACACATAAATTCTTAAAAATAATTATAGTATTTTTCTTAGATGAAAATGATTTTACACTAGAAATTTTTTCTGGTGATATATATCTGAATCTAATATTCTCATAATAAGATACTTTAGGATTACTTGCAATTATTCTATATATGTATCTAATAAATGCCTATTTTGGCTCATCAGAATGATAATCACAAACTATTAAATTATCACATTTAATATATTGAGATCCTTCCTTTTGTCTTTTATATATATGTTTTGCTTTATCTTCAAAAATAAGATTTATCAGTAAATTAGTCTTATCTGTTCCACTTCTCCTAGTAACTAATTTACTGAAAAATCATGTCATTGATAGATGTCCAATATTTCTGAATAATTCATGCTTTATGATCTCATTCATATTCATAAGGTAAAGTTTCATAGGTGAAAGTTCTTTTTTTTGATTCTTTTGCATGATGAATTGGAAATCTATAATTCTAATTTTTATATACTAGATAAAAAATTTCTTTCTTCCAATAATTCACTTTACTCTGTTTGTTCATGGTTAGTTTAGATACATTAGTACATTTACTCTGTGAGTATATTTCAAAAAATAAATTGCCAGAGGCAGTTATATGATAATTATAATTTGACTTCGAGTTCAAAGAACAAGAAGATGAGATTAGACAAAAAATTTTCCTGTATATATACCATATAATTAATATTACTACTAAGACAAAAATAGTAAACTTAATAATAGGAGAAGTTTGATATTTATTATCATTATTAATCATATCTGTACCTAATGCTATAATAGGTAATTCTTTATCCCCTTCTTTTGTGATATTATAAATCTGAGAATTAGATTTAGCATAAACTAGTATATTTATGCTAATCAGAGTCATATTCTTTTTTATTTCTGGAATTTGATACTTTATATTATCTATATCATTATGAGTCAATATAAGAGTACTTACTTTTGAAAATTCATATGTAAAAATACTTTTATTTTTCTTTCTATATATAAAATATTGGGCAAGATTATTATTGCAAAGTAACAGTTTTTTGAACCTATCAGAATTCAATATGGAATTTTGTTCCTTACTTTGTGTATTTTTTTTATTATCTCTAATAATTATGGATCTTGACCATACTACTGCTGATATAGTATCTGATTTTAATCATTCAAGCTCATTAATCTTTGAAGCTAATTTACTCTTTATATATTCTAGTTTAGTTTTAAGAGACATAATCTCAGAATCTTTTTTTGATGAATTTTCCTAAATTGAAAATGCATCTTTTTGGGCTGATGTTAACTTACTTTCCAATATCTTAATCATAATCTGAAGTGATTTTATTTCTTTTAATTGAATATCATCTATACACTAATTAATACACTGATTATACACTGATAAATATAATTATTAGATATATTAATTAGTATATTAGAAGTCAAAATAATATTACTAATAACTAAATAAAAGTATTTTATTAAGCTTTAGAAATATAATAATAAAAGAAGAAAGCTAATAAAAGACAAAAAAATGAAAAGTTTTTGAAAATGAAAATCAAGTTTTAAAAGAAATAGTAAGTTTGATAAAGAGAATGAGGAAGAAATAGATGAAAAGAAGAAAAAGATAATTATTATATCATTCATATAAAATGAAAAAATAAAAAAAGAAAATATAAGAATGATCAAAAGTAAATTAGTTTTATTTTATTTATAAATTAATAAATTTATTGCTTAAAATTTTTTTATATAGAAATATTAAAAATAACTTATTATTATAAGTTTGATATACTTGCTAATATTGCAAAGAGAATGCAAAAAATCACTAATTTCTTTAAGTTTAACAAATTAATTTAAATTAGTTCATGTTCTACCAGTAGTATTTAATCTATTTTTTGAAGATATTATCTAATTATAAGAGAATTTTTCAAACTTAGAAGAATTAATATCTGACTTACTTTTTAAAAATATTATTTAACTTCAAGAAAATCTCTTAAAAAATATATAAATATTTATAGTCTTTGAGTATAATATTTGACAAGCTATTTATAAGTATTTAATAAAAGTAAATAATAACAAAAGAAAAATAGTGACTAGTGAAGTAGTTACAAATATAATTTATAACTAAAAGAATTTATTTTTTGATCAAATTTATTTGTAATACTAATTATTTTTACTTCAATATTATAACTGATACTAAAAATATAAATAACTTATTAATAATAAAGATATTATATTAAGATATTAATAATAAATATAGCAAGAATCAGAAGTAAATAGTATTAGTTTATCTTGATTTAAGAAGTATATTAAAAATATTATTTTATTAGAAAATACAAAAACTAGAAAAATGATTAACTTATGAATAGTAAAAAGATGATTGAATATTCTAAAGTGCTAATTTAAGAATTAATAAAAAGAAGTATATTTTAATAAATATAAGTAAGAGAATGTTGTTATATATTAAAAAAATTTTCTCAAAATAATAAAAGAATTGGAATAATAAATAATAAAATATAAAGATAAAAAATAAAAATAATTTACTAATACTTATAATAAGTGAATGAAAATTAATTTTTATTACTTATGATAAGTGTATTTTTTATTCTAATAATAAAAAGAGAAGAATTTAAATTGCAAATAAAAATATGTCATTGTGAAAGAAAAAAAAAGAAAATTAATAATAATGAGTAAATTTCTTTCTAAAATATATAATTAATTAAAATTAAGTAAATAAGAAGTAACAAGATATTCAAATATTTTTGCGGAAGTATATTATTATCTCATATTTAACAAAAATTAAAAAGATTATTAGGTTATCAAATATTTATTAAATCAAATTAAGTAAAAAGTAATTCTTATTTTTGAGACAAAATTTTTTAATATAATAATTATCTTTACTTTTAATAATAATATAAATTATGTGATATATATCAAAGATATTCTTGTTATGAGCAGAATAAATTTGAATTCTGAAGAAAAATAATTAATAATAAAATTAATAAATTTTATTAATATTAATAGATAATAAATAATTTAACAAATAATATTTGCAAAAGATTATTTTAATTTACTTTATGAGAAAAATCAAAAAAAATTAAGTAAATCTTAGAAAAAAGAAGTCTTTAAAAATAAGAATTAATTTTAGATTATTAGATATATAAAAATAAATTAGTTAAGAATTTTTTATAAGTAGATTATTATATAAAAAATATTATAGTCTTATAATTAGATTTTATTATATAAAAGTTAGCTATTATAGAATTAATCAAAGATTCTGACTATTTATATATTTTTTATCTAAAGTTTTATTATAAGTTAAATTTTATCAAAATATATTGAAAAGTAATTAAGTATTATATAAAAAATTAATATAATTATACTTAATTAATCTATAAAAAATTATTTTATAAGTACTTGATTTAGTAAATATTATTATAATTAAAAAGTTTACTTAGAAATCATAAAGATATATATAATTATATTATAAGAGATTAATAAGAAAATTGACTGAATATATATATAAAAAATTTAAATTATATAGATAAGTTTTATAAAATCAATTAGATATATTTATAAAAAAAAATTATCTAAAAAAAACAAAAATATTATTATAAATAGATTTTTTTAAGTATAGTAACTTATTATAATATAATGATATTATAATATTAATATATATAAAAAATTACTAATTATAATTATTAATATATATTAAGTTATATGACTTTTTCAGAAAATAATATAAATTAACTTTTTAGTTAAATATAAAATTCTGTTTTCAAAAATAAAATAAAGTTATATGATTAATATCTTTAAATATTTTATATTATTGTGATATAAACTTTTAGTAAAATATTAGTTAATTTTATTATTAGTCGCTTCATATCATAATATAATTAGATAAATAATTATTTATATCTTATTGGATATTAGCTTTAGAGAATATTATTTGTAGATATTTTTAGAAGATTTTGCAAGTACAATGATCATGACAAAATTATTATAGTAAAGTTAGTAAAACTATCATAGCAAAACTAATAATGCTATCATAACAAAACTAATATTATGATACTAGCTAAAGTAATATTTAGATTATAACAAAACTAGAATAAGTATCATAACAAAAGTATTATTTATATAATCTCTAAAATATATAAAAGTGATATATCTTAGCTAGTAAATTTAGATAGTTAATAAGTCAGATAATTAGTTATTTAGTTTAGTTTAAGTTTTATGAGTTTAGTTCTTAACTTGTATTTTAGTAGATTATAATTTTAAGAGAATTCTAAGAAATCTCTCTTATAGAATAAATCTTGATTAAGATCTATTAATTTGTCTTGTTAATAAACTGAATTATATCTGTTTTGAAATTATATTTTGAAATTAGAACATATTCTAGTTAGTCACAACAAGAATACTATCATTATCTATCTTTAGATAAATAATAATATTTATATTCTTGTTAATAAATCTTTTAAAAACTCTCTCAAACATTACTATAAGTACATGATTACTTTTATTATATGCTTTTATAATATTAGGTTTAATACTCATTCCCATCTCAGAACTCATATCAAAAAGATAATAACTTTTTGGTATCTCTTCTGTGGAAAAACAATTCTATAGAATTATTAAATTCAACTCAGATTTAGATAAAGAATCCTTTATAGATTAAATTAAAATAAGTAGAAAATCAAAAGTAATTGAAGAAATAATTTTGTAATATATCAAAGTGAATTCAATCAAAAAAATCAAAGTAGAAAGAGAAAAACTCTTCATTCACTTATTTACTAAATTACATTTTGAAAATTATATTGAATCTGATTGCAAAGTCATTTGAGAAAAATTTTACCATTTTCATCAAGAAATAATATATAGTAAAATCTAAATTAAGACAAGAAAAGATTTTGTAACTTTAATTAAAAAAGAAACTGATCTATCAACAGAAGAGATATAAATATATCTCTATCAATTATAATAAGAAATATTTGAGTTCAAAGATAAAAGAAGTAAATACTTAACAAAATAAAGATAAAGAAAATAACAAGATATACCTGTAGAAGTGCCTAATTCAATTCAGTCAAAATTAAATAAAGAACTACTAGATACTTTATAACAGTTTGAAAAATATAATTCAGATACTCTTGAATAAATATTAGTACAGTCATCACTCAATAAATATTTAGAAATGCAGTCAATTACTCAAGATATACCTATCACTTCAATATTTATCTTCTTAATATCACTTGAAGAAGAAATGAGTAGAGATAAGAAGAATGAAATATTATCTTCATTAACTACTGATAACAGATTTAAAAATTTGATACATAGAATTAAAGTACTTGCTATAGCTCTAGAAAGATTAAAGGAAGTCAATTATACTAAAATTGTAAAATTCTATGATGATATTCAAGATCTAATTAGTTGGCTTTAAGACTTTGAAAATACTTATATTACTAATGATATTAGTAATGACAAAAAAATTCAGATAGTAGGAGCTTATCTAAAAGATTTAGCTATCACATGATATTTCAATGAAAAGTTATATAAATC